GGCAGATAAAGAGCTTCACAGATAAGGAAAAGCTAAAGGAGTTCATCACCACCAAACCAATATTATATGAAATGCTGAAAGGTATCCTTTAAGAAGATGAAGAAGAAGAAAAAGGTAAAGATACAAATTATAAATAACAAATACACATCTATCAACAAGTGAATCTAAAAATCAAGTGAATAAATAATCTGATGAACAGAATAAACTGATGATTATAATAGAATCAGGGGTATAGAAAGGGAGTGGACTGACTATTATTGGGGGCGAAAGCGGTGTGGGGGATGCGGAAAGAGACTGGACAAAAATCATGCACCTATGAATGAGGACAGTGGGGGGGGGTGAGGGTAAAGGGTGGGAGGGGAACTGGGTAGAGGGGAGCCACGGGGGGGAAAAAGAGGAACAACTGTAATAATCTGAACAATAAAGACTTAACTTAACAAAAGTATTTCCTATAGTATTACAGTACTGTGAAGCCAAAAATTGGAGTTCAGGAACTTTAAAGGAAGGGAGGAAAGGCACAGTTAACATGTGAGGCTCTCATTTGGGACTCAAACATTTGCATTATAGGGATACCAGAAGGAGAAAAAAAGGAATTGAAAATTTATTTAAAATAACAATAGCTGAAGACTTTCTCAAACTGGGAAAGGAAACGTATATCCAGGAAGCACAAAGTTCCAAACAAGATGAACCCAAAATGATCCACACCAAGGCATACTATAATTACAACTGCAAAAGTTAAAAATAAAGAGACAATCTTAAAGGAAGCAAAAGGAAAGCATCAGGTTACACACAAAGGACATATCATAAGGCTGCCAGCTGATTTATCAGCAGCAACTTTACAGGCCAGAAGAAGTGGCAGGCCATCTTTAAAGTGCTGAAAGAAAGGAACTTACAACCTAGAATACTATATCTGGTAAGCTTATCATTCAGAATTGATGAACAGATAAAGAGTTTCCCAGACAAGCAAAAACTAAAGAAGTTCATCACCATAAAACTAGCTTTACAGGAAATGTTAAAGGCATTTCTTTAAGCAGAAAAGGAAAGGCCATAACCAGAAATAAGAAAACAAGAAAAAGGGGAAAAAATCTCACAGTAAAACCAAATCTATACTAATAGAGGAATATGCAAATTGTCTAGGATGCTATCAGAATAACAGTAATGACCCAACAGCAGGCTGCTTGGGGCGACCAGGCCAGCAGGGGTGGTTAGTGAGGGAAGACAAAATGACTGAACAGCAGGCTGCATGGGGCAACAAAGCCGGCAGGGGGAGCAGTTAGGGGCGACTAGGCTGGTAGAGGGGGGCAGCTGGGGGCGACCAGGGGAGCAGTTGGGGGTGACCAGGCTGGCAGGGGCATAGTTAGGGGAGATCAGGCCGGCAGGCAGAGGTGGTTAAAAGTGATCAGGCTGGCTGGGGAGGGGGGCACAGTTACAGGTGATCAGGCAGGCAGGCAGGTGAGCAGTTAGGTGCCAGCAGTCCCGGATTGTGAGAGGGATGTCCGATTGCTGGTTTAGGCCCGATCCCTGACATCCCCCAAGGGGTCCCAGATTGAAGAGGATGCAGGCTGGGCTGAGGGGATCCCCCCGCCCCTGCATGAATTTTGTGCACCAGGCCTCTAGTATTTAATAAATACAGTGAATCAGATATTTATGAGACCACTGTTCTAACTCCTAACCTACAGAGCCTTAGCTGTGAGTCAGATATTTAAAAAGCTACTATGATGGTCAAAAGAAAAAAGTATCAAACTCAATTCAAATGACAATAAGTAGTTAGGAGATATACCATACCAAAAAAATAAATTTAATACATGGCATCAATAACATAAAGCAAGGAGAAGGCAGTTAAACTATAATTCTCATAGAATGTATTTGAACTTAAATGCCTATCAGTTTAGAACAGACTGCTATAGATATACAATGATATACATAAACCTCATGGTAGCCACAAACCAAAAAACTACAGAAGATATACAAAGAATAAGG